AAACCTCATCTGAAGGAATCCCCGGCGAATCCCCAGGAATCCTTGAGATTCCACCGGACTTCTCTAGGAATCCGGAGGGATTCGTAAGGATTCCTTCGGGATTCTTCAAGAATTCAAAGGAAGTCTCCAGGAATCCGAAGGAAGCTGCAGGAATCCGAAGGAAGTTTCCAGGAATCCAAAGGAAGTCTCTAGGAATCCTAAGGGATTCTAAAGGAATCCCGAGGAATGCTTGAGGAAACCTAAGGAAGTCTCGTTGAATCCTGAGGCTTCCTCCTTGAATCCTAAAGACTTCCCCGAAGATTCCTAAGGAAGTCTCGAGGAGTCCGCAGGAATTCTCGAGACTGAGTATGCGCGTGGAGTTGAAGTAGCTCTGCCAGAGAGGAAGGAGACCACAGCAGCAACTGCGGTGGCCACGGTGGCGCGGAACAGAAATGCCCGTGGAAAGGGGCTCCCATGAGGCCACCAAATTGACGCCGAAACGACCAACTTAGCGCGATGCCGAATTACAACCATTGGTTTTCAATAGAAAACTAATTAGAACCATTGGCTCCAATAGAAAAAAAAGTCAAACCATTGGTTTTCAATAGAAAACTAATGCAAACCGTTGGTTTCGTGGGGAACTAATTTAAACTATTGGCTTCACTCATTAAAGCCATTGGTTCCCAATAGAAAACTATTGAAAACCATGGGCTTCCAGTGGGAAACTAATTAAAACCATTGGTTCCCCGAATTGAAACCATTGGTTCCCCAGAAGAAAACTGATGAAAGCCACTGGTTTCCAATAGAACGCTAATAAAAAAACATTGGTTTCCAATAGAAAACTTTAAAAAAACAATTTGTTCCCAATAGGGAACTACTTGGAACAATTTGTTCCCAATGGAAAACTAATCAGAACAACTGGGTTCCAGTAGAAAACTAATCAAAACCATTTGTTCCCCATAAAGAACTACTTAAAACCATTTGTTCCTTGGAGACATATTTAAACCATTTGTTTCGAACAGACAACTAATGAACAACCGTTGGCTTCCAATGAAAAACAAATGAAACAGCCATTGGCTTCCAATAGAAACCATATATATATGTTAACTACTGCTGTCCCAATAGAAAAAAAAAAAAAAAAAAATGTGTCCCCAATGGAAAACCCAAAAAAACATTGGTTCCCAATAGAGAACTAGTAAAAACAATTGGTTCCCAATGAAGAACTAATTGAAACCATTAGTTTCAAACCATTGCCTCCCAATGGAAAACTAATCAAGACCTTAGGTTCCCAATAGAAAACTAATTGAAACACTTGGGTTCCAATAGAAAACTATTGAAAACCATTGGTTCCGAAAAGAAAAATCATAAAAACCATTGGTTCCCAATGGACAACTAATTAAAACCATTGGTTCCCAATAGAAAACTAATTTAAACCACAGGTGATCCATGGAAAACGAAGCCAAGCCATTGGTTTTCAATAGAAAACTAATCAAAACAATTGGTTCCCAATAAAAAAATATCCAGGCAAAGGACCCAACCATATGCAGTTGTGAATACCGCGATTGTGAATACCATCTTCGCCAAAAACAAGCAGCAGGAGGCAGAACAAAAAAAGATAGGAACAACAACAAGATAAGCAGGAGGAGCAACCGGAGGAGCACCAGTAGCAGCAGCAAGAGGAGCAGCAGGGTAAGCAGGAGGATGACCGCGAAGAGCAGCAGGAGGAGCAGCACAAGGATCAACAGGAGGAAAGGCTGGGTGGGGCAGAAGGAGGCCAGCAGGAAGAGCACGGGAGGAGGAACCCGGGTGGTGGAGCAGGATGAGCACCGCAGCAGCAGCAGGAGCAGCAGCAACACCACCACGCTCCCGGCTGACTGGATGCTTGCGAGCGCCACAGCACGCCTGTGAGCACCACGGCATGCCTGTCAGCACCCCAGATCGCCCGTGCGCACAACGCGATGCCCATCGGGAAGCTGGGGCACCGCCCGGGCATACGCTCGCTACCGCTACGGTACGGTGGGGGGCGGGCGAGCCCCCGCAACGGACGGTACACGCCGGTCGGAAGAGGTAGGCAAAAAACATGAGGTAGGAAGGCAGATCAAGTAGTTAGATTGGCTTCAGGCCCTTCCAGAGAGTATCAAACGGCAGAAACAGCACATCGGCTCCTGAAGTAGGAAGGTGCTCGACGTAGCTTGGGATCTGGAAAGCCAACGCCTACTCCAGATTTCGTGATAGAAGGAGAGGGGGTCTGGACCCTCCAAGACAAGCCACTTCAGCCCTCCCCCGTGGGAGAATCCTCGAAAACATCGTCCCCAGACCCCCCCAGGCCCTCCAAGATAGCCTGGAAGAGACCCCTCCCCGAAATGAGACCCCCCTCCCTTTATTACGAAATCTGGAGTACTTTCAACGACCGGCGTGTACGGGTTCACCTCCTGCCGACAAAAACTCTCCAGCCTTCCGCCGGCGCCTCCGCCGGCGGAGCGCGCCAGCCCCGCCTTCTTTGCTCCCGCCAGCTCCCAGGGGACTTCCGCCGGGGGAGAGGCGACAACTTTTTTGACTCTCAGAGGGGGCGAGGCCCTTTCGAGAGCGTCGCACGTCGCTGCACGGTTTGTTCTCGACGCGCCCGAATGGACGACAGCGACGCAACGGCACACCCACGGCAACCCCTGCGTCCCGCGCCCCAAGCAGACGCAGCCGGCAGCGTGGCAAACCCGCGGCAACCCCGCCGCGCCCGAGGCGGAGTTGGCCTGGGTGGCCGCGGCGCCCTCCCCAAGACGTAAGGCTACGCGTCGGAGCAACCGGCGCGGCATTGCATGTGTGCCTGCGCCAACTGCCTTGGGAAGTGCGGCGTGTCGGTTTCAGCAGTCGGGTCTCCGCGCCCATTGCCTCGGGGGCCTTGGCCCTGGTGGGACACGGTCTCGCTTCTGGAGCCCCGCCAACTGGCCATCGCTCGGACGTCCATTCCCTGTGTTTTTTTCGGGTTCCGTGCGTGGTTGTTTCACCAAATGAACAAGGATGCTCCTCGATGGCCCTCGCCGAAGGAAAAATGCACACGTCCGAGCGATGCCAAGGGACTCTGGGAGGGGTCTGGGGGCCGATGTTGACCGAAACTGGCCAGGAGAGCCACCGTTGTTTCAACTGAACCTCCTTGGAACTACTGTCGCCCTGGGTAGGGGCAGCATGACCCAGAATCGCACCGAGAAGTCGGACTGGCGATCGAAATTGATCGGATCGGCGGAAATCGGCGGCCAAGATGGGAGAGGTCGAATCGGCTGCCATCGGCTGGCTAGTAAGGCCTCCGTTGAGAAACCGAAGCCCAAGTCGGAGTCCGAAGCCGAATCGAATCGGAACCGAAGAGAATCGAACTCGAGTCGAAATCGAGTCGGACGAATCGAAACGAGCCCTGAAGGGGTGTGCGGCCGAGATTGCACAAGAGGTCCCGCTCGTGTGGTCCTCCCCGCCCACTGGACTCCGGCCTTCGCTGCCACGGCGCGATGTGTTGCGGCCGTGGCTGCCGTGTCCTGACCGCCAGCATCATGAGCGTGAAAAGGAAGACGAAGCCAGTACGAGAACACACATCGTTAGTGGCCTGCCAGCTGGGGCTCCGAGTAGATGGGGTCCAAGGATCGCGCCGCATCGCCAATGCATCGCCGATACATTGGCGACGTCGGTGTGGGGGAACACGGGCTCCACATCGAGAAGCATCGTCGATGCATCGACGATGCGACGCGATCCTGTGACCCCATCTACTCGGACCCCATCTAGGAGGCCTAGAATCGTGTGAGGAAGAAATAGAGAGTCTCGGAGATACGGCGGCTCTGCAAAATGTCTCGGGCTCCGCGGCCTTCTCAGAGGGTTCCGGAACGCTCGAGAGACTGTTGGAACGCTCTGAAACAAACTTACCCTGCGTCCTAGCCCCGTCCGTCCTGCCTGCGGGGCCTGGCCCACAGGAGTTCGGCCCTGATTGCTTTGGGAATTGGCCGCTGCTCTGGTTGGACTGGCTCGCTCACGGGGGTCCCGCCCAAAGGTGGGCTTTGCGGTCGTCCATCAGGTCCCGCGCGGCAGTGCGGTTGGTGCTCGCCCGCCAGGGCCCGCCCTCAGAGCCCCTCGGGTCGTGGGGGTGGCGGTGGTGGCCCACAGTGTCCCGCGCGAGGTTCGGGTAATTGGTGGTCGCCCATGGTGTAAGGCTTCAGGATGCGCGCAGACGGCCCCCACCATGTGGTCCCGGCTGGACTGAACAGGCCCCCCCACTAATCCCAACTGGCCACCGAATATCCTCCGGTAGCCGGAGGCGGTCTCAACACCCTCGTGCCGCCGTCGGCGGCGCCTCTGAGACGCTCCGCGCCCCAGGGTTGGGGGTGCTCAGACAGCCCCAGCCTACTCGGGGGGACCATCGAGGCCAGCTGGGGGGACCTGAGGGGCCTGTTGCGGCCAGCTGGGATTACCTGGGGGGCTGTCTGTCAGCATCCCGAAGCCTTACCAGTCGACCATAGGGTTCCGCCCATGTGGTCTGGGGCGGCGCGACGGGATGTTTGGTGGTTGTTCATGATGTCCCACACTCAAGGTCCCGCCCACAGGGAGGACGCGGAGGTCTCGTGGTGATTGTCCTCCAGGTCTTGGCAATAATCCAATGGGGTCCCTGACTCTGTTGCCCTGCTAGCAGCCGTCGAGAACATGGGGGTCACGCGCTGCCATCTTTTCTTGGTTTCAAGACCCAGAACGTGCCCCCACGGACCCGAACTCAACGATTCTGGCCGTCATGTGTTATCCTGGGCATTCGAGATCGGTGATCCGAATCCGAGGCACGTGAGCCGAACCGCCTGGGACCGTGGGGCCTGGCTGACGCGACGGAACAAGACCCAGGATGGGAGGGGAGAGAGGATGTGGACGGGGGGGGAAGAGATGGAACGAAAGACGGGGATCGGTAGGAGCCGAGGGTCCAGGCAGAGGCGCCCTTGCGGGCTCGCCCGTATTGGACTCCCGACACGAAAGGAAGACCTAGCTGGCTTGTTGCGAGAACCTCACATGGAGACGGAAACCATCGCGTTTACCAGTCGCAAGGCAGGCACGACCGCCAAACGATCCTCGCCAACCGCCATGCGATCCGACAGGCCAGCCGCTCCGTCCGCTGTCGGATTCGCGCAGTGCGGCCCCAGCTGGTTGTGCAAGCAGAGCTCGACGCACATGAGTATGAGCGTCAGGTAGAAGACGCTAACCAACTCCTCCACGATCTCGGCGTGCATGCCTCCAATTCCACCCGAGCGCTCGAACAGGGTCGACACGGGTGATCTCAACACCACCAGGGCAATCACCACGCAGGCGAACACGTCCTGCTTCGCCAGGCGCAAGGACTTCTGTGGTGGCGCGCAGAACGCGCGGCGGATGTCCATGGTGCCCAGGAGTTTTATTGGGCAATATTGACAAGCGCTTTCTTTGTAGTGTTACCACAATCAACGGTCTTCGCTGCGAGGGCGAAGATGTTTGGCTTCTGGGCCACAAATGACGACAACAAGATGTCTTGGAGCCACACCGAGCCGCCAAAGCCTAACCGCACCCATACAGCACTCCGCTGCTTGCGTGCCCCCTCGCCCCAGACCCGCGGCAACACCCCATCGACGAGCATTCCGACGCCCCCCGGTGGTCAACACTACGGCCAACGTCCTCAAGTGAGTCCAGCCGTGGCGACGGGGACACCGCCCAGGTTGATGCTGACCAGGAGTGGAAGTGTCCAGCCCGCCAACCACGAACCACCAGCCCTCTGGGCGGCTGGCGGCCTAGGTTCGCTTGCCAAGTATCCTCCCCCCTCCTGCGCGACCCCTCTTCGTCCCCTCCGTCACTCCGCCCCCTTCTCCTTTTCCCAAGGCGCTGACTGCAGCCGCAGGGCCGCACCATCGGAGCACAGCAGAAGGAAGCAGGGCGACACGCCGCAGCTGGCACTCGCATAAGAACGCGAGGGATGGCAACGAGACCTGGCCGACGTGAGCCGTCCGCGCGTGTGTCCAATACAACAGGTACGCGTCCTGACGTGCCCCAGGGCCCTGAGGCTTCAACAGGCCCCCAAGGCTATCCGGTGATGGGGAGAGTTCCGTGGGGGCACCTGCTGGCAGTCGAGTTCTGGATTGGATGCGCCCACTGTAGCACTCCATCGAGGTAGTGGACACACCCATGCACCACACAGAAATCAACTGGCGTGAGCTCCGCGCACATCGAACGAAATACTAGCGAGGGGCATCCGATGACCGAGCTGCCTAACACGGCAACAAGCTGGGCATGAGGTCCCTCACCCTCTCCATCTTCCCCTCCACCTCCTCCCCGCTCATTCCCCTAGTCTCCCAGTCCACTTCCCCTCATCTCCCTCCACTCCATTCATCCTCTCCCCGTTCTCCTCCTCCCCCTCCATTTCCCCTCCTGCCCCTCTCCCTCCTCGCCTTCCCTGGCCCTGCATCCCGTTGCTGGGCGTCTCTCTGGTCTCCCGAAGTCGCGGGCCGGCGCGGAGGGGTCTTGGGAGCAGCGACGAGGATGCCCCCGGGCATCTTGAAGGAGGAAGCAAAGGATCACGACATCGATGAAGGGAGCACGGAGGAATGTGGGGGAGGACAGGATAAAACGCAGAAGGTAGAGGTAAAAGGACGAGGAAAAGAACGGATAATACATTAATTATGGGGGATGGAAAAAAAGGAGAAGGCAGAGGCGGAGGCAAGACTTACTCATCAGACGGAAATCTACTGGCCACCCGTGCCCCAAGACTATTGCATACAACAACTTTGACCTTCAGTCTTGCCGTCTGGGTGAGGATTCCGGTCCTTGCACAACTTCGTTCAGGGGATGCCTTGTATTGAGACTGTTCAGCCCCCCACCCTCTCTCATTCTCTCTCTCCCTTTCTTTATGTATGCACTTTACATACAAATGTGTACTCCAGATGTCCTCATCAGCCTGATAAAAAAGGGGTGTGACTTCTTGGGGGCATGATATAATCAGTCTTGGAGGGTTTCAGAGGGTCTTGGCAAAGGCCACCCTTTCATGGCTGGTCGGGAGGGGGGTCTTCAACTGCTCGTCCAGGAGTTTTGTGTACCCCCCCTTGTAGAAGTCGGAGTATGTAAATATGGGACTTGGGGGGTGAACCCGACGTGAAACGGAGACCCCCCCTACCGGAAAATCGATTTCGGTTTCGGGTTCGTGCCGTGAGTGCCGTGCGTGCGTGCGGGCGAGGCGAAGCTGCGTGGGCGGGCGAGAAGATATCCTCCTGTGGCTGGGCCGCGGCCGGACCAAATGTATCTCGTCCGGCGGCCGGTGCCGCGCGGTGTCCCGTGGTGTCCCGCTGATTGAGATCGATAGTGAGATCGATACTGAGATCGATGTGGTGCCCCGAGGTGTCCCGTGGTGTCCCGTTGAGTGAGATCGGTAGTGAGACCGATAGTGAGATCGATGTGGTGCCCCGGTGTGTCCCGTGGTGTCACGTTGAATGAGATCGATAATGAGACCGAAAATTAGATAGTTGTCCATAGTAGATAGTTGTCCGATAGTTGTCCATGTGATCGTGAGATCCATAATGAGATAGTTGTGGTGTCCCGAGGTGTCCCGGGGTGTCCTATGGTGTCCCGCTGAGTGAGATCGATAGTGAGATCGATAGTGAGACAGATAATGAGATCGAGAGGTGTCCTGCTGTGTCCCGTGGTGTCCCGTGGTGTCCCGTGGTGTCCCGTTGAGTGAGATCAATAGTGAGATCGACAAGTGTGCAGTGGTGTCCTGATGAGTCAAATCCATCGTGAGATCGACAGTGAGATCGATACTGAGATCGATGTGGTGCCCCGAGGTGTCATGTGGTGTCCCGTTGAGTGAGATCGATAATTGGGTCGATAATGAGACCGACAGGTTTCCCGTGGTGTCCCGTGGTGTCCCGTTGAGTGAGATCGATAATGAGATCGATAGTGAGATCGATGTGGTGCCCCGAGGTGTCCCGTGGTGTGATATCGATAGAGAGATCGATAATGAGATCGACAAGTGTCCCGAGCTGTCCCGTGGTGTCCCGTTGAGTGAGATCGATAGCGACATCGATCGTGAGATCGGTAATGAGATAGATGAAGTGTCCCGAGGTGTCCCGTGGTGTCCTATGGTGTCCGGCTGAGTGAGATCGATAGTGAGATCGATAGTGAGACAAATAGTGAGATCGAGAGGTGTCCCATGGTGTCCCGTGGTGTCCCGCGGTGTCCCGTGGTGTCCCGTTGAGTGAGATCGATAATGAGATCGACAAGCGTCCCGTGGTGTCCCGTGGTGTCCCGTTGAGTGAAATCGATAGTGAGATCGATTGAGTCAGATGTCGGTCCCCCCGCCCCCCCCCCCAGAACCTCCTTATCACCCGAAGGGTGGTCGTACAGGTATATCGGAGGTGGGGGGGTGAGTCCGACGTGAAACAGAGACCCCCCCTACCGGGAAATCGATTTCAGCTTCGGGTTCGTGTCGTGCGTGCCGTGCGTGCGTGCGGGCGAGGCGAAGCTGCGTGGGCGGGCGAGAAGATATCCTCCTGTGGCTGGGCCGCGGCCGGACCAAATGTATCTCGTCCGGCGGCCGGTGCCGCGCGGTGTCCCGTGGTGTCCCGCTGATTGAGATCGATAGTGAGATCGATACTGATATCGATGTGGTGCCCCGAAGTGTCCCGTGGTGTCCCGTTGAGTGAGATCGATAATGAGATCGATAGTGAGATCGATGTGGTGCCCCGAGGTGTCTCGTGGTGTCCCATGGTGTGAGATCGATAGAGAGACCGATAATGAGATCCACAGGTGTCCCGAGCTGTCCTGTGGTGTCCCGTTGAGTGAGATCGATAATCATATCGATCGTGAGATCGATACTGAGATCGATGTGGTGCCCCGAGGTGTCCCGTGGTGTCCTATGGTGTCCCGCTGAGTGAGATCGATAGTGAGATCGATAGTGTGACCAATAATGAGATCGAGAGGTGTCCCGCGGTGTCCCGTGGTGCCCCGAGGTGTCCCGTGGTGTCCCGTGGTGTGAGATCGATAGAGGGATCGATAGTGAGATCGACAGGTGTCCCGAGCTGTCCCGTGGTGTCCCGTTGAGTGAGATCGATAGTGAGATCGATCGTGAGATCGATGGTGAGATCGATGTGGAGTCCCGAGGTGTCCCGTGGTGTCCCATGCTTTCCCGCCGGCTGAGATCGAGAGGTGTCCCATGGTGTCCCGTGGGGTCCCGTTGAGTGAGATCGATAGTGAGATCGATAGTGAGATCGACAAGTGTCCCGTGGTGTCCCGTGGTGTCCCATTGAGTGAGATCGATAGTGAGATCGATTGAGTCGGATGTTGGTTCCCCTCGCTCTCCCCCCTACAACCTCCTTCTCACCCGAAGGGTGGTCGTATAGGTGTGTGTATGTATGTGTGCATACATATACATATATAGAGAGAGAGAGAGAGAGAGAGAGAGTCCCCAGCCCTTTTCCTAATCTACCCCTTTCCGATTCCTGCCCCGCCCTCCTACAGCAGACACACACGATAAAAAACCTGACCTACAAAATTCTAGGAGCACGTTCGTCGTCTGCCTTTGAGCTCCCCGAGGTGCTTGAAACCTTCTGTTGGCCCCAGGGCCCCCCAGACGAGGAACAACTTCTGTTGGCCATTGAGTAGGAACCGAGAACAAATGAGGTAACCATAAATCCCACAGCCCTCTGGGCGACAGGTGGTCTAACGAGGATCTCTTTTCTCTTCCACGACCCCTCTTCCCTTCGGGGAGGGGAACCCTCCCCATCCCCTCATTGTTTTTTGGTTGGGGGAGGGGCCAGATCTGTCAGGGGGTCCTTGTTTGGCCCCTGGGAAGGTCACTTCTTGACACCCCTCACGATGATGGTGCCCCCCGAAGGGGAAGGGGGGAGCTACATCGAGGACCACCCTTTTGACCGACCGCCCCAAAAGGCCCCAAGAGACCTCCACCAGGCACCCGAGAGGCACCCAGGAGGCCCCCGAGCAGCCTTAGAGAGCCCACGATGGCCTCCAAGATGGCTCAAGATAGCCCAAGCTTGCTCGAGATGACTCCCAGGATGCTTAAAGGCCCCAAGACCATGCCAAGAACAACTCTACATGGCCACGAAGCCCCCCAGGATGCCGCCAAGAGGCCAACATACAGCAACCAACGACCCAAGAACATCAATGAATCTGGCCTTCTCGCCTTGTTGTGTTCGATGGCCTTCCGAGGCCTCAAGATGGCTCCACGATGGCCCCAATATGCGCCCAAAAAAGACCCAGGACGGATCCAAGAGCGCCCACGAGAGCTCCAAGACCACTCCACGAGGAGCCCAAGAGGCGATGCGTGGGGCCCTCGAAGGGCGACGCAAATCCCGCCAGCCCTCTGGGCGACAAGTGGTTTAACGAGGGTCTCGTGCCTTTTCCACGACCCCTCTCTCTTCCCTTCGGGGAGGGGAACCCTCCCCCTCCCCTCCCTGTTTTTGGTTGGGAGGGGGCCAGATCTGCCAGGGGGTCCTTGTTCGGCCCCTGGGAGGGTCACTTCTTGACACCCCTCACGAGGATAGCGGCGAACCACATCGAGGGCCCCCTCTTTTGACCGACCGCATCCAAGATGGCCCCGAGAAAACCCCCCCAGGGCTCCCAAGAGGCACCCAGCGCCTCACGAGGCCCCAAGAGGCCTCCAAGAGGCACCCGAAAAAAAAAGGCACCCAGGAGGCCCCCGAGCGGCCTCAAAGAGCCCACGATGACCTCCAAAATGGCTCAAGATAGCGTCGCTGTTTGACTACGCGTGTCTCTTACTCTCCCCCCCGTCAACTCTCGTGGGCATCGCTTCTGGATGGGATGGTGGGGATTTGTTGTTCGCGAGCGCAAACGGAAGGACCGCGCGCCGCCTCAAGCTACAGCTAACCAACAGGAGACTAAATTGCACACGAGAGAGAGGCGAATCTATATTAACTGGTGTTGATATTTTTTGGTCAGCGGCCGCGGGCGAGCGCGCCGGCGGCGAGTCAGGTCAAAGCGGGCTACGCAGCGACGAATTAAGCGAAGGCAGCACTGGTGTTGATACTTTTTGGTTCGCGGCTCCAAGGCGAGGGACAGGGACCGGGCACAACGTCCGGGGCGCGGTACGATGTAAATTGGCCGCAGTGGCGTATGCACATGCCAGGAACAAAATGCCCCTCATTGAGACGCAGGACAGCGTCGGCTGGTGACCGGCCCAGACATCCCGGCAGGTGGGGAAGCAAAAGCGCGGCGACCGGCAGCGGAACGGGGGGGAGAAGTCGCCCTTGCGGCGCCAAGCTCCAGCCGGACCACATTCGGAAGCGAGGCCAAGATGGACGGCGGGGCACTGTAAAGCCGCATGCGCGGATCCGAATGGCCAATGGCCAAGCGAAGCCCACGTGCGTGCACCCACTGGTGTTGATACGCAAAGCGTCAAGAATTTGCGGCGGTCCGCGCGGATTTGAAGGATCAGCACTGGTCCCCTCTCCCTGGGGTGCGGAGCGCGCCAGAGGCGCCGATCCAAGAAATACGCGCAGAGCTCCGAAAGTCTATGTTTGTGTTGTTCGTGGCGTGGTTTGTTCTTCGACTACGGCCGGGCCTAAGACAGAAAAACGCACTTCAAGAACATGAGACCCTCCGCCGGCCAAACTGAAGACCATTCGAGGGTACCCTCCCCCAGGATGCACAAGCGCATGCAACAACCACGAAGAACCTTAGGCTACCCTCCCCGAGCCGACCTCGATCTTACACCTCGGTCCGACCGTATATGGCGTGCCTACTGTAAGAAGAGCGCGGAGGACGAGACCGCTGAGCCGAGCACCACGGACAGGCCGTCGCGTGCCTCCTCTTGCGGCGTCGGCTTCGCCCGCCTCAGCACGTCGGAGCCCCACATGGCCTGGCGAGGCTGCCAGTGCCCGCCCGCGGGAGGGTCGAGAGGATGGACTGGAGTCAACCCGTATACAAAAAGGACGCACCACAAGCATGCAAGGGCCTTGGAAGGCCATGCCGACACTTTGCGAGCGGGGTGCGGCCAGCGAATGTGGACAAGGATGGGCCGAAGGGCACTATGCGGGCTGCCTGCACGCGCGCAACATACCAACATCACAACCACGTGTAGCGCGATGGCAACATCAACCTCAACCACATCAATGCACATATCAACCACGCGCGCACGCGTCTCGGAACGCGCAGTGCTCATGACCGGGAATGAAGTGCTTATATCAACAATCGCGTGCTATGGTGCAAAGCTGCGTAAGCATCCACTTTCGGAGCACTGTGCGGAGTTCCTGGATCGGCGTTGGACCCCCCCCCCTCCCCCCCCCCCCCCCTCCCTCCCTCCCTCCCTCCCTCCCCCTCCCTCCCTCCCTCCCTCCCTCCCTCCCTCCCTCCCTCCCTCCCTCCCTCCCTGGCGTTCGGAGCGCGTCAGAGGCGGCGACGGAGGCGCCGGACCCCTCTGGCGGTGCCCCAGGCGCCGCTCCCGGCGCGCTCCGCGCGCCAGGGAGGGGGGGGGTCCAACGTCGAGTCCGACGGTCGACCCGAGCAGTCCGCGCGGAGCTCCCCGGCTTGTGACCGTGCCGCTTGTAATCCACCGCCGCACGAAGGATTGCAAAAAAACCAAGGATTGCAATCCTGGGTTTTTTTTTGCAATCCGGGTTTTTTTTGCAATCCTTCGTTGGGTTTTTTGCAATCCTTCGAGTGTCCACAATCGGGGATGGACAGACCCCCCTTTAGTAAAACGTGGTTGAGTGAAAAAACGACCCGAGGCCCAAACCTGGCGGGCGCAAGCCTGGAAAATAACGGCCACGGCGCCCTCTCGAGAACCGAAAACGGACAATTCACTAATCGACGTGTCACTGTTGGGGGTTCTGTCCACCCCCGACTCAAGTCCTTGGCCTTGTCCCTCAAGCCTCGGGCCTCAATCCTGAGCATTACCGCTAAAGGGCCCATGCCCCAAGTTCCCAAAGCTCCAGGGGGCACGTCGGGTGGCCCCTGGGACTCCTGGCGCCTTCTCCGGGCCCCAGGAAGCCTGGAAACGGGCCAAGAGAGGGTCCCGAGAGGTCCCCAGGACGGTCCAAGAGGGCCTCGAATCGCCAACAAAAGTCGGCCCAGGACGTTTGAGATGGCCTCTAGTCGGCCGCAAAAGCGCTCAAGACGTCGCAAGAAGCCTGCAAGTCCCTTCCCAAGAGGGCCCCGAGAAGCGAAACACATAATTACCCTTAGGTTTTCGACAGATTCTTGCTTTGTCGCCTTTTCGGCTTCCCGATGCTCCAAGATGGCTTCCTAGGCCCCCAAGCTCGCCCCAAGCCCAGAAGGGGGACACAAGCGGACATTTCGAGCCCTCGGTCCCGAACAAAAATCTCAGGAGGCTCCTAGAGGCCTCCCAGAAGCCCCAAAGAGGCCACCAGAGACCCCCAAGAGGCCCCCAGGAGGCCCAACGAGAGGCCCCCGCTGGGGAGATGAGGACAAGAGGAGGGGCACTGGCAGGGGGAGGTGCAGTCAGTGACCTCCCGAGGCAGCAGGACCCACAGGGCCAGAAAGACGTGGACCAATGGAAACCTGTGGCAGTGGAGCCAGGCCTGTGACATCGGCGACGGCTGTCAGAGCAGGAAGAAGAGCAGGAGGGGCTCACGGGAAGCAGCAACAGCTGTGCCTGCAGCAGGGTGCAGACTGCGCTCGCGTCCAATCCCCGAGCAGGGTCAGATCTGCAGCTCCTCCTGCTCGTCTTCGGCCGTCTCCTCCTGGTCGTGGCGCACCCTCCTCCTCCTCCTCCTTCTCCTCCTCCTCCTCCTCCTCTTCCTGCTCCTCCTCCTCCTCCTCCTCCTCCTCCTCCTGCTCCTCCTCCTCCTCCTCCTCCTCCTCCTCCTCCTCCTCCTCCTCCTCCTCCTCCTCTCCTTCCTCTCCCCCCGAGGGAGCCCGCGGCGGCCCGCCGAGATGGTGCGGCGGAAGGCGCGCTCGTTCTGGGACAGCTCGAAGTGCGTGGTCTTGATGTTCTCCTCGGCCGGGGAGCGGGGGCAGCTGCGGGGGTGGGCTAAAGGAGGCGCGGAGGAGGCCGGACTCTGGCGCAGGCCCTCGGCAAACGTGAGCGCGCTCCTCCCTCGGCGATCTCTGGGATCTGGCGGCTCTGGAAGGTGTGCCGTATCAGGCGCCGCGGCCGTCCACAGCGCTCCAGAGCGCTGGAGAACGTTCCGAAAAAAAAGTCCCCGGCGGCGCGTCCGGCTCAAAACCCCGCCCGATTCCGTGCCCTTGCTGTGTCGCCGGCCCGGTCTGTCCTGCACCGATGTCGAGTGCTCTGTGGCCGCAGGCTGGAATTCGGCGACGGTGCCGGCCCCAACTGCCCTGGATGCAGCATCTGTTTTTCTACGTTGAGGATATTGCCTTGGTGATGCCCAGGTGATACTTATATGCCCAGGATACCATACTTGTTTGGGAAAAAAATGAAAAATCCGCCGACCCTGTCGGCGTGTGTGAGGGGTTTTTCCGTTCGAGCCGTCATCTCCGTCATTATTTGTACTCGTCGTCTCTGTCCTTCCCTTTCCCTGGGACTCCTCTTCCCCTGGGCTCCAGCCAAGCCGACCTTGAGCAACCTCGTAACTGAGTCGAACGGAAGCCCCTTCCCTTTGATCCCTTCCCCCGCCGGGAGGGGGGGGGGGGTAGAGGGGGGGGGGACCGACCCCCCCCCCGGGTCAGATACGACGCCCCCCCCTGGGACTCCTCTTCCCCTGGGCTCCAGCCAAGCCGACCTTGAGCAACCTCGTAATTGAGTCGAAGGGAAGCCCCTTCCCTTTGATCCCTCCCCCGCCGGGAGGGGGGGGGGGTAGCGACCCCCCCCCCGGGTCAGATACGACGCCCCCCCCTGGGACTCCTCTTCCCCTGGGCTCCAGCCAAGCCGACCTTGAGCAACCTCGTAATTGAGTCGAAGGGAAGCCCCTTCCCTTTGATCCCTCCCCCGCCGGGAGGGGGGGGGGGTAGCGCCCCCCCCCCGGGTCAGATACGACGCCCCCCCCGGGACTCCTCTTCCCCTGGGACCTTGAGCAACCTCGTAATTGAGTCGAAGGGAAGCTCCTTCCCTTTGATCCCCTCCCCGCCGGGAGGGGGTGGGGGGGCGGGGGGGGGGTACCGCCCCCCCCCCCGGGTCAGATACGATGCCCCCCCCTGGGATGGGGAGGTCCAAAGTGATCAAAAGGTGAAGCCTGGGTTTGGGGGGATTGCCGGCCGCGACCCCTTGAAAGCCTCCCTGGGGCGCGGGAGAACCACCTTGAGCCCCCCCCCCCCCCTTGGGCCCCTTGGGAATGAGAGGGAGGGGCTATGGAGAGACGGGGCGTGGGGGAGGGATGATGAGATGCTGAAGTTTGTCTAACCCGCGGGGAGGAGGAGAAGGGGAGAGAGATGACGGCAGGCGAACGGGAGAGGAGCGGAGAGCGGCGGCCGCGGCCGCCCGAGCGAGCGACGCGCGCGCGCGCTTTCGAGCGCCAGCGCGACGGGTCGCGCGAGCCCCGCGGGGCGGGGCCGCGGGGCCGCCGCGGGGCATCGCCTCGCGGGGCGGGGCCGTGGGGCGACAGCGGGAGAGGGAGGAACCCGAGAAAGGTGTGACAATCGTTCGGTCCGTGCCCTCCCGGCCCCCCCCCCCCCGCGAGAGTGGGTTCCGTTCCCGTGCCCCCCCCCGACGAGGGTAAGGATACGGGATACGGTAACGATTGGATGCTCAAGATTCTGGGGCATCCCACGGGGGGGGAGGGGAGGGTGGATGGAGGAGGGAACCGAACAACTCGGTGGCGGCGGCAGCAGCGCAGAGAGACGGGTCGTGCCCCACCGCCCCCATTGGGATAGGATCGGGGCCCTCGGGGGCTTGGCTAACTAACACATCGGGCATCTCCCAAGAGGAACGGATGTGAGGGACGGGCGAGACGGACGATCCGGCAACGGCAACGGACAACAGCGCCCCTTCCTTCCATCCACGTTCCTTCTTCCCGTCTCGCCACCTCACCACGGGCTCCGAGCTACCTCCTCCCCTCATCCCCCCCCCCGCTGGACCATCGGAGGAATCTGCAATCTTTTTCGCGGCATCGCGCGAAAAATGGGACCCTGGGACCCTGGTCGGATCAACGTTACGTTCGCAGGTCGGGGGGGAAGGGGTCGGAGGGCGCGATGGGGAGGAGGGGGGAGCAGGCGGGGTAGCGAGCTGAGCAGGAGGGAGAAAGGACGGGGGCGCAGGAAGAGGATGAGCAGGAGGAGAAAGACGAGCACGAATGATGAAGAGGAAGGCGATGAGGTGAGGAGAGAACGAGGCCTTGGCAGGTGCGCGCAGCGTCGGCGCGCACACTGGTTATTGACACCTCGTTGATCGGTCAACCTTGAACCGATCGCGGCCACGGTCCGGCCACGGTCGTTCAATGGTGGGTCCCATGGCAGTCCATCGGTGCGCCCGCGTCGCAGAATTCAACCTTGAATGTTGAACGCCTTCACTGGCGCCGCGCGCCACCGCCGCATGAATCCCGCATGAACCTACCCTACGCCGAACTGGGAATTCGTCAAGGGCGACTGGGCAGATGATATGATGATGTGGCGAATGGGCGACTGGGCGAATGGAGGGCGGCGCTGCTGGTGCGTCATGGCGCTGTGCCTCACACGCGTCTGTCGCGTGGGAGGTACTACTTGCAATTCCACTTATATAAACGGGGCCTGGCTGCGGCACGGCTCAAGCAGCAAAAGTGGCCAAGAGTCTGGGATGAGCGCGTGAGCGCTCGCAGAAGAGGGGTCGGCTAGCGCCAGTCCCTGGGGAGGCTCGATGGCCTCAAGAGCACCCTGTACAGGCCCAGATGGCCCGAAGGGCGCCGAATTGGGAGAAGAGCAGGGGGCTCCGCGTCTGTTAGGGGGTATTTATTTTTGCCCTGGAGCTTTCTGGTGAAAGCGAGGTGATGGGAGGAAGGGACCGCGAAGGATGATGAGGGGGAGCGGGAGGAGAAGGTTACCAGCGTTGGTGTCGTTGCTGATGTGAGTTACTACATAGTTTGAAGGACAGGACGCGCGAGCGAACGTGAAACTATGCCACCAAACTTCGCGCACCATGCCCCACGATGCGCGACGCTCGCGCCCTCTCGCCATCCCCTTCGAGTCCTTGGAGTAGGGCAACCACTGACCCCCATACCACGCCGCGCGAAACGCGGTGATTACCTTCGCGCCCCCGTTGATGGCCTAGAGAACGCGTGAAGCATGTGTGTTATCGTCCAGACGTGAGGGGCCAACTGCATCGCATGATTGGTTGATGTTGTCCCGCCCCATTCCCATCCTTGCCCTATCCCATCCCACCATCCCATATCTACAGACCACTCGCTGGATCACATGAAGATGTGAGCGAGCTCGGCCTTGTCCTTCTTATCCACCGGCTCGTCGTCTACATTGGGCTCATCAGCTCCCGCAGCCCGAGGGTCCGACTTCATCGCGCTCTCGAGGGCATTCACGATGGCAACCCGCGGGGCAGGCGCAGGGTCCTGAGCCGCGGCCTCGTCCCCCCCAGGCCGCAACATCACGGCGTCGTAGCACGACTTGCCGCGTGAGAGCATGAACAGGCTGCCAGACTCGGGGGCGCCAACATTGTCCGTGTCCGGGTGAAAGTAGCAGAGGCGCAAATTCACGCTGATCGGCGGCGGGGTCGACGAGGCAGGGGCCGCTGGTGCTGTCGCGGCCGGGACCTCCTCGGACTGGGCCTCAGCCTGCGGCGAGGCCGGTGGTGGGGTGCCTGGGGCCTGCAGCGCGTCCCACGCCGTGGCCGACGTGGCCCACTGATGTCCAGGGGCGGCCGATGGGTTGTGGTACACGACGACAGTCTCACTCTCCAGCTGCATGGTGGCCTTCTCATCTTTCTCCACGGGCAACGCATATGCCACGACGACGGAATCAGAAGCCAGCCGCTCGAACCCTTGACCTTAGGGGAAGAGCTGAGTAGATGAGTAGATGGGCGAAGAAACATATCAGGTGGCTAGAGTAAGATGACGAGGAGGAGGAGGAGGAGGAGGAGAACGAGGAGTAGGAGGAGGAGGAGGAGGAGGAGGAGGAGGAGAAGAAGAGGGGGCACGGCGAGGGAGGGGGAAAGGATGGGGACGGAGGTCGGAGGAGGGGCGATCCCCATGAAGAAACGCATCACCTCTGGGAGCGGAGAAGCGACGATTCGCTGCTCCGCTTCCAGCGGGCTCTCCATGGACATCGCGAGTGCTCCGCCCGCAGGCAAGCAGGCTATTCGAGCGTTCGGAAGACATCCCGAAACAACGCCAACACCCCAAAGCACATGCAGGTGGCATACCCATGCCCACCTGATACGTAGAAGTCCACCCCATAGATCCGAGTGAGCCACGTGCACAATTTCGGAGTCCGCACAGTCGTGACGTGGCCCGCCAAGTACAGCTTGAGCGAACGATCTGGAGCACCCACGGTGGCCACGGACAGCTTCTTCGCGATTGGCAGAACCTGGACGTCACGGCAGCCCTTCCGGGGGCAAATGGAACAGCGCCAGGCCAGAAAAGGGTGTCGCCGATCACCGAGGATATCGATTGCAATCCAATGGATTGCACTCGAAATGCACGGCGTCACGTCACCCTCGCAAGTCCCGCACTGCACTATCGCCCACCGCTCACCTCGCCCTCGTCCATGAAGGAGTTGGCAAATATGCTGTCCACAGTCTTCTGGAGGAACGTCTTGGCCTCTTTGAGGGCGAACATTTTGGTGAGCCCGTCAATATGCGGCACTGGATAAGACGAGACTCCAAACCCTGAGGGAACTTCGAACAGCTCCTCGAGCGTGGCAGTAGGCGTCGGCGGCATTGCGGTCGCGACCAACGACTGCACTGAGATGCCCGTCGGCTCCTCCCCCCCCGCCGCATCCACCTCTGAGACCGATCAGATCCGAAGGTCCGAAGTCATTAACCCGACTTAACGTCCGCGAGTCGGGCGAATTCACTTCGGACCTGCGAGATGAACTCAAAAAGGTCTGGTCTTCCAAC